GCAGAAAACAGCTTTTCATCAGTCTTGATGTAAACATATTAGCTTTGCCAGTGGAGACATTTGTCTCTTCTAATTCTTCTTAACACTTAATTGGACTGTGATCAAGAGTGTTTACTTGTAGTGACATTGAGTTTTTTGATATAATCTCTAAAAACACATTTGAAAGAATCACAGTTTTATGCTGTCATTGCATTGGCTCCATCAGACACTCAAAGGTTCTAGGATCTGATACCTCTATGCAGCACCAATTTAAAAATGGCAAGAATTCACATTTGGCACTCTTAGATCGGAAGAAGGTTCTAAATACAGCTTTAGAATGCAAAAAGAACAAATGGGAGTCAGACCCAAAAGAAGACTGAGTAAGCATTTATTGCAAACAGTTACATTGAAATAGGCTGTTCTCAACTGATCACCAGTTTAAGACCACATGATTTAAAAGCCCAAAATCTGGCAAAAAAAATGAATTTTGTGTCATTTTCTGTCATGTCATGAGGGTATATGTAGATTAGGGCTGTTACCACATTAACACATGTGTTTAATCTAAAACTTTAATGTGTTAATATAACACAATGCAGCAGCGGAGGGTTATTTAGTTCAAAGCATGCTTTCAACAATCCAGACTTGCAAACACGAGTGAAAGATGAGTCAGGAGAGTCAGACTCATGTGCTGAGCAGCAAATTTTGCTTTAAACAAAACCAATGTGGTTAAATTGAGCGCCTCTCGATGTGGACGTCCCAAATTTGAATCCTGTTCTTTTACCACTCCTCTCTCTGCCCCCGGCCTGTCAGATTACTGTCACATAAAAGCCACTAGTGTCAAAAAGAAATCTTAAAAAAAATAAATAAATAACAAAAATAAAACTAATGTGTATTTCCTAAATGTGTCTCGTATCGTCTTTGGTCAATTCATCTAAGCAGCCAGATTTTGCTTCTGTGACTCACAGTTGCAACACAGCAGCTGTTTTTCTGATGTAGTGCATACATTTTGATTATAAATTCCCCATTAAAGATGCAGAATGTCCAATCTCAGTGATTGCTGGAACACTTTAGTGTGTTTTGACCTTTTTTGTTATTTTTAATATTTGATCATTGGCTTCCAAATGTCCAAGAAGTGTCCCTGCTGAGACTATTAAGGAGTCCACTCGGTATGTATAAGCAGACTAAATGGATTGTTGACAGAAAGCACTCTGATTCAAGGCTTAAAAACAAAAGCATCTTTTTTCTTCATTCGGTTGTTCTCAGCCAGCGCGGCACCACAGGCCTCACCAAGGGTGACAGAGGACAGAATGCCAGTGGAAGCTTTTCTCACAAAGGAAGGGAAGGGGCACCGGGGATCTGGGGTAACTGTGGTGGTGGGGTCTTTCTTGATTAAGATTTATGTCCACATTTGTTCTTTGCCAGCAGCCACTGCCTGCTGTTGGAGAAGCTTGCTCATGCAACTCATTTCTTAGCCGTGATGATTGAAAGACTTTTCCTAAATGTGTTTTATGTCAAAGCATTTCCTTTCCTTTTGGGCCACATGTCTCACTCTCACTTTGAAAACTCTCCTAAGGATTAGAGCAGCAGGATGTGGTGGAAACAAATACTGTATTGAGCATATTTTATCCTTCAAATGTAAGCTTCATTCTGTCTGTGAGTGCATAACCCTAGTGTACATTTATCCAAAACATACTGATATATAAAGAAGTACTATTCTATGTAAAACTTATTTTTATAAATAGAAAGTTCAAATTGTTAGAATCCTGGTTTGTTTTGAGGTTTGTCTATGTTTCTTTGTTCCTTAGTCTCTTTCTTTTATTAAATCTTGTTCTGTTTCAGTCCTTCTTAGTGATTCTAGTTTATTTCTTGGCTCTAGTTATTCTTTGTTACTCAAATTGAATTATGTTTCTTAGGTCTAGTCATTGTTTAGTGTTAGATTTATTTACTACTCACCTGTGTACTCTCCCTCGCCCTCTGTGCCACTTTCTCTCTCCCTTCACACCTGCAATCCATTTCTAATCGACCTCCCCATGTATGTATGCAACTCATCGTCAGTTCCTCCTGGCTAATCCTTTTTTATACTGTTATATTCTTCTTATTAAAATATAATAATATATTATATTATAATAATATATTATATATATATTATATAATAATAATAATATATTTTTCCATGTCTCCCCTGTTTTCCCTGCTGTTTTTTTCTTGGATTTGTGGTTTTTGTTCTGCTCTGGCTCCCTATGCTCCCTGTGTTAGTGATGGACAAATGAGGCCTCATTGGGTGTATGGCACATTTCACAAACTATGTTGACACTGTGTTGACACTGTGTTGCTGTTGCAAAAGTCATTGCAGGAAAATTCAATAAAGTCTGGAATGGACTGAACAAGGTTCATTCACACATTTTTATTTAGAAACATCAGGTGCTGCAACAGCTTTGGGCCGAGACGATTGCTCCATTTTCAAATCATTTCTCCTGCTTTTGAGAACACCCTTTCACAGGGCACTTATGATGACGGCATACATAGAAATTTAATTGCAAGTTTGTATATGGTTGTATACGTAGTCTTTGCATTTCCCAGTATTGTAGTGGATCCTATGATCTTGGTGTGTTTGCCTTGGAGATGCATATTTGTTCCTCGATGATGGCATCATGGTGACATTTGAATTGGCTTTGCTCTCTTCAACTTCCATGTTCAGCTGCTGCCACAGATGTCATCTGAGAAAAAGATAAAATGCACCTGTGTTACTAATTCATTGTAATTACATGGAGTGATTTGCAAGAACATTAAAATACAAATCAGCACAATTAATCATGACAAACTTGAACTGGGAGCAGATGGTTGAGTTGAAGGTCCAGTTCAACTGCCTGCTTTCTGGAAACACCAGGGTTTAACACAGAGTGTTAACCGGTGCATCCCCCTCATGTCGGGTACGATGTTGCCTCAGCATTGTGGAAGTGCTCCAGTTACAGTAAGACAACTGGGAGAAAATCCAATGTTTCACCTACAATATAAATAAAAGTTAATCCCTGTAAACTAATTCAAATATCCTATAGAAAGAAAGTGGAATAAGCCAAGAGAAAAAAATTATCAAAAGTGTAAATGAGAACTGAATAATCTTTTTTTTTTTTCTCCATGATAAGATGAAAATGATCCCACCCACACGGGAGAAAATGTCCTCTTCGTTGGTTGATTCATGCCTGTATTCAAGTATGAGCCAAAAACAAATGCAAAGTAAAGAACACAAAGCATCTCCATCCAACAAAACCCACAAACGTGTCAACACAGTTTCTCCCTCATAAATATAATTTGGCGTGTTCACATCCAAACGACACAGGAACTGTATTGGTTATGTAGTTTTCCTTAAAGTGATACACACACCGATATGGGCTTTTGTCTTGTTTACTCGGCACATGTGCCAAGGTTTCTGTCGTTTGGCCCATCACTACCCTGTGTATTTTTTTTTTTTTTTTTTTTTTAAAAGGCCAAAAATATTTATTCTCCCAACTCCTGTCTGTATTTTGGTCCATCCACACACTTACACCTCATGACAAAGTGTATCAGTGTATCATCAAATGTATTAAACACATTAATCAGTTATAATGTTTTGGCATTTGGTAAAAGAAAGGGGACATTTAACATACCTTGCTAAAATGGTATCTGGCAGCTTTAGGTAACAAGTTGCCCGACCATGGCCTTAATGCACAGTTCTGCTTGATTCTCATCCCCATTTACTTCTCTGTCTTTTCTGTCTCAGGATAGATTTCCTTCAATCAAAGAACAGGAGGAGAAGTTGTAAACCATGGTGTTAATTTTCTGCACTGTAGTAGAATTGCATAGTGTTTTAGTTTGGCATTGAGAGCGGAGGAAGTGAACAAAGCCGTTCAGTCCATGTTGGCCATACGTCCGAATATTGAATTAAGATTAACAACTGGGTTTGGCTCGGTACTTCTGTTGCCACAGTGGAGGATGGTTGTTTACAGACCAGGCAATTTACATTAAGCTTCATATCGGACTAGTGGATAACCATTGCAGCAAACGTTTGTGATTGGGTAAAATTGATAACTTCAGCAGAGTCCGTGCCTTCCACTAGTAATCATTTCACAATAGCCAAAGATCCAGTCCCTCTGGGCTGATTTTTACCAGGCTAGGTAAACTCAGTCTTGTTTAGAAAGTGCTCAATCAGCAATGCGGGGAAACTGAAAAGGGAACAGGTGCCCGAGTCATGGTTGACCAAGCCCAAAAGACAAAAGAATGCTTTTCAAAATAAGAGCTACTGCAGTTCAGACTGTTAAAAAAGGTACCACAACAGTTTTTTTTTTGCTTTGCATATTCCCATCGTCTCTCTGATCAGCTTCCGAAGCAAACGGCCAGACAAACATTTAAAGCGGAGCAGCAAAAGTCAAGTTAAAGCTTATCTATATAGCACATTTACAATGTCAGCTGACCAACATGCTTCTGAACAATCACATCATTGTGATCACAAGTAGAGAAATGATAAAACATACAATAAAATAAAAATCAAATGAAAGCAAATGAGATGGAACTGATGATGTCATTCAGGACATGCTACTGTAAAATATTGTCTCTGCTGCCTGGATATTAAACTGCTATCTTGTCATGGCATCCGAAGCACCAGTCAGCAGCCTCTTCAGATTTGTTACAATAACGTATACCGGACATCTTTCCTGCTCACAGCATCACCATCCACAACAACTTATACTTGAATAATATGAGTTGTAAAAACCATTTGATATAAATGTGTTACCTTGGAATCTCTCCTTGAATTGTACACACTGGAATAATAAGCCAATTAAGTAAATTAACCAATTCAAATGAAACAGCCATTGTGCTATTTCTAATTCATCTGAATATTATGGCATATCTAGAAATTAATATTCTTTGAGATCATTTTATGATCCAACTTTGTCACCTAAAGTTTGGTCCTTAACTAATTTCAAATGGTAAATATCAAAATGACATTTGCTGAATAAGCTTATTTTGTGTCTCTGTGCTTTCAGGACCAGCCCACCTTATTGTTGTGCTGACTTGTATTCTTTACGGACAGGCGAAATGGTTAAATCCATTCAGTTCAAGACACCAATCTATGAGCTCCACTGCAACAAACAGTAAGTCTCATTCATGTAAAAATACAGTTTTCTCTCTTGACATTTTTCAGTGCATTATCTTTTCTTCTTTTGGTAGTATTCTTGTGGTGAGCCTTCAAGAGAAAATTGCAGCCTTTGACAGCTGCACTTTCACCAAGAAGTTCTTCGTTACAAGTAAGGACGCTTATAGTTTGAATGTTTCATGAGCAAATTGTATTCTCTAAATAAATTATTTTTCTGCAAAATATTCTCTCCTACATTTGTAATTGATGACAATTTTCAATTTCAATTACAAACTGTTTTTAATTAAGTGCTGTTACGGATACTGATTTGAAAAGAAGGTTTTCTTTGTATTAATTCAAATGTTTTATCTTTATTTAATCAATGTGGCTTATTAATTTGAATTGGAAAAATTATTAATGTCAGACAGGATATACCTCAGCTGCATTGATTATTTAAAAAAAAGTTCTACTGAATTGGATCAAAAAGACTGTGGGTATAAACTATTTTGTCAGAAAACCATAATTAGATCTTTGGTGATTCCAAAATGGTTTATGAGTACATTTCAGATTATTTTAGTTTTGCAGGGCTGTCTTTCTATATGGGCTTTAGATTATGTTTAATCCAATGCATTATATTTGATCTTTTACATGTTTGTAAATTCTTCATATTTTTTATTCAGGGAAGGTCAAATATTAAAAATGTTGAAAGGTTGAAATATTTTTTGAATGATTCCTTAAATATCTTGCTAAGCAACCATAATGGGGTTTCTCTTGAAAATAATCAAAATAAAGGAAAAAGAAATGAAACACTGGTGTGATGCAGTCTAAAGTCACACAAATCACTGATCCTGAACACAACTTGGGACTCTTAGGTTGACTTCATTCCAGAGGGCTTTGCAAGGACCCCATGATCACCCACTAATGGGTGTCATTGAATTTTAGATGAGAATAGTAGGTATAACACCAGATTTCAAAAATTAGTTCTTTCTTACATTTCCTTTTTGATTATTGACATAACTGCCCTGTTTTCTAAAAACATGTTTTACTACCGTGGGCCTTTGGTGTAAGAGAAGAAATCGGACATCTTGCATGCCACCAAGACTTGGTATAGTGCTGCACTCAAGTCCTGCTTTTCTGAAACATCATTTGAGACCTCACAGTGATTCTGTTTACAACATTACTCTTTTATCCTGTTTGCTGTACCTTCATGCTCTGCTTAAGGAGGCTGTGAAAGAAAGACCAGACTATTACAAGGCCATCGCTGTCCACTTAAGTCATTGACTGGAGTAAACTGACCTTACCGAGAGGCTTTAATGTGTCTCCTCGTTGTCTGCCTGCCTTCCCTATCAGCGTCTGGGCAACAGGAAACCAAACATGCTCAATAGTTATTAATCGTTTCTGAATGCAGGGGCCTCTTCTTCATAACGTTATTTGGTCTGTTTGGTCCATAAAAGTGGTAAACAAAAGGCCCTGTGATGTTCTGGGATCTGTTTTGGATAAGCCATTCTGCCACTGCGCGTCCGCTGCTTCTCTGGAGATATGGTGGTGTTTGTCAAATTTTTTGAAAGCACTTAGTGTTGCGTTTATTCTCATGTTCTTTCTTTGAATCCAAGTGAGCTGAATCTCTTAAGAACAAAGCAGCTACACCATAAATCAATAATTCCCCTCTGTTCTGCAACCTTGTCTAAGTTTTGACCAGTCAACTTGATAATTTTTCTTTGCTTTTTCTAAAATGATTCAGCATAGTGGTGCTTATTTCTTTTATTCAAACCACTCGTCACTTCTTTGACTTTTAACTCCTTAACTTTAGATTTATTTTACATAGTTTGCATTTTAAGGTTTGCTGGTATTTCTACTTAAATAAAAACTGATATAAAGGATTTTTCCCTTTTTTGTTTTGACACTATGCTTAAAAAGTATTACTATTTATGTTTTAAAATATCTTGTTTTTCTCTGGAACTAAATGACCACAAGCTTATTTTATAAAAATGCATTTAAGGATAAACTTCCTGTTCACCAGTTCCAGGTGCGGAAAACTGTTGTGAAACTGAGCGCTGATTGTTGATCCACAGTTGTTATCCCTTAATGAAAGGAAGCAAGCTAGTCACAATTGACACTTTGGAGAGTGTGTGTGAAGTGGGGACTTGTGTTGCAGTCACTGTTGGTTTCATGATGCCAGCACCTTCAGATTTCCAAGCTCTAAGTCATGAATAGAGTAGAACTGAACATGGAATTCCAACTTTCTTTAAAAGTTGCAGAAAAAAATTTCAATGGGATTTTCTGACTGTCATTAAACCTGTGATGCACATTCTAAGGTAGAAGCTGTTTGTTCCTTTTCAGTTTCAAGGCATATACTAGAAAAAATATTAAATAAAAATAATATGGAGTTTGGAAGAGCTAAATGCAATAATAAAACATTTTTATTGTTTGAAATAAAGACCTGCAGATAAACACATCTACAGAAATGTTGCTTTGGAAATGGCCCTAAATTTAGATACCCTTTTATGACCTTAAGTAAAACTTTATTTTTGTAGCAATTTTCACAGACATAGATCACAAAGTGTTTCACAAAGGCAAGACAATTAGAACAAAACAAAACAAACAAAAACACACAGCCTTGTCTTGTTGAACTTTTTGGGAAGTTGTGTTTGACTTAAAGATAGGACTATCAGTTCTGGAAAAGCTAAATTAAGACTCACCACATTGTCTTAACATTGTGGTCTAAATTAAGACAATGTACATCATGTTGCTCAGATGTACAGAACACGACATATTAAACTGTTATTAGTTAATCAAGACAGATACTCACATGGGAAGTTCTACCCTATTCATGACTTGGAGTGACTATCCTAAACTTCTTTTAATTCCCGCATCATGTCTGCCTCCTCTGCACATTCTGCTCTGTTCTCCACCCAGAATGTCAAACATATGTTATCTCACTGTCTGACTCAATACAACCTCAGCCTTGGCAAGGTTACAAAAGGCCTCACTGGCGTTACCAGCAGCACTTGTGGCTTACCTCAACTAGCCCCTCCTTTCTCTCCATATCAGCCCCTTCCTCACCACACACACAGGGGGGGTGTCTGCCTCCAACTTTCCTGCTGGCTGAGCTGTAAATGATTGTTCCCCCACACCTCTGTGCACATAGATGAGCTGAGTGTGTGTGTGTGTGTGTGTGTGTGTGTGTGTGTGTGTGTGTGTGTGTGTGGGCTCCAGAACACAACTGACTGCTATTATCTTTTGCTTTTCTTTTCTACAGACTTTTCTCCATTTCATAAGTGTTCTGTGCCCATTTCATTATTGATTATTTATAGTAATAAGTGTCATCTTCAGCATATTCTAAACTAAGATAAATCCCACCTCAGGTGTAAATATTAAATTATTAGTTAATCAACCAAACTATGAGTTATTGATCATCTTCTCAACCTCATTAGTTTTCATATGGTTGTGAATTAATTTTTTTTTTTGGAGCTTTGCTTAAGTTATTTATTTATAGTAATTAAGTGATGCAAAGTTTTCTTAACATCTTGCTCATTTCAAGTTGACGTCTGAGCTTTGATTCGGTCAGTGAAACATCATCATTCTTTGCTTTCTCAGCCATTGGGTTGAATTATTGCTGCTGTGTTTGGGACCTGCTGCTGTGTTTCATGAGTCAGTTTGGGCCAAGCCTCAGCTGTCAAACTCAGAGTTCATGGTTGACTATATGACAGATTTTTCCTTACATACGACTCCCAAAGCTAATCTGGAGTTTGGGCTTATTTAGCACTTTCTATGTCCACCTATAAATCACCAACTCTAGCAATGAGAAAACTGTTATATGTTGGCCCAAACTCTTTGTTATGGCAGAGGAAATAAGCAGCACCTGCATTCTTTGCCTTTTTTTTTTTTTTTTTTTTTTCAAAAAACAGTTTTTATATATTTTTTTTTAAATTGCAAAGAAAAAAAAACTTCAATTTTCTAA